CGTGATTGTTCCTGTACCCAATAATGCCACACTGTATTGTATATTACACTAGCCATAAGCAAAACATACATTGATGGTGTGCTGCACAAATGATAAGTAAAATTCAGTTAGGTTTGCTGCAGCTATTATATACATGAGCTGATTTCTGCAACTATGCAAGCCTGTTGCTAGGAATATGAACCCTCTGCAAACTAATTCCTCAACCATTGCCTCTGCTGCTGTGACTCTTTATACAGGGATACCTTATTACTGCACTGACTGCACGGATGGCGTAGTGGTTTAAGCGGTCACCTCACTGCTTCCTTCTGCACTGAGTGTTGTGCACACAGGGCAAACACTTTGTGTGATCAACAAACTGTGTCTTGCTACCAGGGACTTGAAACGTTATTCATATCGGAATTCATTAACGATACCATAACGTTATAATGGGATCGGTACCTCATCAAACATAATGTTTCGATTTTTGTTTAACTAGTATCAGAACGAAACTATTACTGCAAGTATCGTTATAATAACGTTTTATGAGAACGATAAATACGCGATACATATAACGATAAATATAAAACACATTTGCAAACAATCATTTTTGTTTTTAAAGATACTCCTGCATTAGGACATAAACCGCCTGCAAAGTATTTTAAATAGATATATCGTATGTGGAACGACTTTCGACCGCATTGAAGTTCATAGTTTCCCATTTGAGGATGAATTTAAAAGACGATATCATAGAAGACATCTTATTTGTGCCTTCTTACAAGTTATATATTTAACTGCATAAGGTACATAAAAATCAGAGTCTAATTAATATTATAAACAGAGTTGATATACCTATATTATGTAAATTATTTTAGTTAGAAACTGTAAACCTTATGATAACAAAAATGTGCGAGTATATCTTTACGAAGCCGCCACCATGTCCGTCCAAGTACAGAATCAGCAAACAAGACCCGTACCATTGCATCGAGGAGTGAGACAAGGGGACGTTATTTCCCCGAAATTGTTCACAAATGCAATGGAGGACATGTTCAAGACGCTGCACTGGAAAGGGCGTGGCATCAATATCAATGGCGAATACATCTCTCACTTGCGTTTTGCAGATGACATCGTCATCATGGCAGAGACGTTGCAGGACCTACAGCAAATGCTGAATGACTTAGCTGACACTTCTGTACGCATCGGCCTACGGATGAACTTGGATAAAACCAAAGTCATGTTCAACGAACATGTACTACCGGAACCGATTGCGGTACACGGTGCCGTTCTCGAAGTTGTTCAAAATTATGTGTACCTCGGGCAGACATTGCAGTTAGGTAGAAACAACTTCGAGGACGAGGTGAACAGAAGAATTCGGTTGGGTTCGGCAGCGTTTGGGAAGCTACGTCGAGTCTTCTCATCGTCGATCCCACAGTGCCTTAAGACGAAAGTCTTTAATGAGTGCGTCCTACCCGTCATGACATACGGAGCTGAAACGTGGACACTTACGGTACGGCTGGTCCACAAGTTCAAAGTCGCTCAACGTGCTATGGAAAGGGCTATGCTCGGCGTTTCTCTAAGGGATCGCATCAGAAATGAACCAAGGTCACCGACATAGCGTACCGGATCAGCAAGCTAAAGTGGCAGTGGGCTGGCCATATTAGCCGCAGAACCGATAACCGTTGGGGAAAACGAGTTCTTAAGTGGAGACCGCGTCTCGGCAAACGTAGTGTAGGACGCCCACAGGCCAGGTGGAGTGACGATTTGCGCAAGACGGCTGGCAGGAGCTGGATGCGAGAAGCCCAAAATCGATCTAAGTGGCATGCAATGGGAGAGGCCCATGTCCAGCAGTGGACTGCGATAGGCTGATGATGATATCTTTTATACTAAGTTATTTATTAACATGGAATAAAGTTAAAAATAATCGTACATAATTAGCATGGCGTGGGCCTAAGATACAAATCGACACAAAAACCAAACAACAAAAATTTATTTTTATAAAATTTGTAGGGATAAAATATATTAACTTTGTTTCCATGAGGTTCACAGATGCTAACTGAAATTTAAAAAAAAACATCGGTAATATTGGAGTTATTGGCGATTTCCTTCATTTAGATATGTGCACATTGTAAAGAATCACGTATTATAATTGTAGGTTTTGTTTTAGTTTATTTTTGGTCTGGGCGTTTATATGTATAATATGCATGTATTTACAAAAAAAGTACCTATACAAGTATTTATAGCAGTTATTTAGTACCCATAGTACAAGCGCTCTCTCGGTACAAAATTCAATTCCCGAGAGGCAGAATGCCTTTGAAGAGTTTGTTGCCTCCCGTCCAGCTGATTTTTACAAGAAGGGCATCAATAAACTGCCAATGCGTTGGCAAAGATGCGTCGATTGCGTGGGTGATTACTTCGAATAACAGAAATATAAAAGTTGGAAAAAATAAGTACTTTCACTTATTGCATACAAAACGGCAATTTCATAGGTAAAGACCTAATATTAATTGGGATTTTATTATAAAATCGGACACATTGACCTCGAAAAGACTTGTTTATCTTTTGGAGCCAAGAGGCGGGCACTAAAAGTTTATTTTTATTTCTGGTATTTATGGCATGTACATCACTTTTTTTCAAAAAGCTATCTTTGTTTTTATGAACATATATTACATTTTCATAAATATATTGACTTGCCACTGTCATGATATTTATTTCTTTAAATTACTGCCTCAATCGCTCTCTTTTGCAGCACAAAAATAGTTTGAATGTCGGCAGCATTCCCCCACAGCAGAATACCGTACGACATTATGCTATGAAAATAACTGAAGTAAACAAGTCGTTCTGTATCAACATCAGTCAACTCTCGATTTTTTTGTCTACTCGACAATTTATCAATATGTGTGCCCACTGTAGCTTAGAATCTAGTGTTATACCAAAAAAATGTCGTAGTGTCCACAAATTCCAGCCCGAAATCCTTAATTATCACAGTAGTAGGCTTGATGTTTGGCATAGTGAGACGTATACACTTAGTTTTTGGTTCATTTAATAGTAAATTGTTGACGTCTATCCAATGAACCACTTTCGAAATGGCGCTGTTTACGAATGTGAAATCAGGAAGCGGACACTTCCTGATTTCACATTAGTCTAAATAATAGTGATGTATCATCAGCAAACAACACAATCTCGAGATTGTCCTTGACAAGGTGAGGTAAGTCGTTAATATATACTAAAAACAAAAAAGGGCCGAGAATAGAACCCTGTGGAACGCCCATTTCTACCACAGAGCCTAGAGACCGCTCACCATTAATATCAACTTTTTGAATCCTATTACATAGATATGAGGGAAGAAGTTCCAGGGCTTTATTTTTGATACCATAGTGCTGTAATTTCCTGATCAGCGTTTCATGAACAACACAATCAAAAGCCTTAGATAAATCGCAAAAGATACCTAGAGAATCGTGGGCATCCTCCCAGGCATCAAATATATGTTTTACTAGCTCAACACTGGCATCACTTGTGGAGCGACCCCTTGTAAAACCAAATGGTCTATTGTGTAATAAATTATTATTATTAAAAAAACTTTGCAATTGATCATACATAATTTTTTCAAAAGTTTTGCTAAGTACTGGTAGTACTGAGATAGGTCTAAAGTTAGTTGGGTCAGATGTACTACCAGATTTGAATAAGGGAATAATTTTACTAGACTTCATAAGATCAGGAAATACACCACTATCAACACATTGATTAAATGTATATGACAATTGATTAGGCACAAGAGATATAATTGTCTTAGTAATTAAAACAGAATTTCCCACTAGATCGGTTGTTTTTTAAACATTAATAGTGTTAAAGGCTTTAATAATTTCAAAGGGGGACACATATTGGAACTTAAATTCACTATCAATCCTACTAACATTCTCTTTTAAAATTGATTCTGCAAGGCATGGTGAGGAGTTGAAAGATTTAGTAGTTGATACAGGAATGTTAGTAAAAAAATTCTCAAATGCAGCAGCACCCTCAGCATTTGATGTGATAAATTTATTGTTTATGTTTAAATTAAATTCATTATCACGGCATTGATTTTTGCCAGTTTCACTATTAATAATTTTCCAAGTAGTTTTAATCTTATCATTGCTACTTTTAATCTTTGAACTTATAAAACGAGACTTAGCCGGTTTACAAAGTTTCCTAAACAGCTTTGAATATTCTTTAACATAATTATGAAACTGTTGACTTTTATTATAATTCCTCTCATCGTATATAATCTTTTCCTACTTTTGAGTAAGCCAGATAGCCCATTCACTAAATGTGGCGTTACCTTTAACCACTAGCGTTTTTAGTGTAAAAATGGTGTTAAATGTTAAAGAAAAAGTTTCAAAACTATTATAATAAGTATTAGGGTTATTCTCCACACAGAGTACAGAATTATCAAAAGCAGCTTTAAGTTTATCCTTAAAGTTTTCACAGGACACAGGCCTCTCCTTAGAAAAAAGGTTTTAGCCTACTATACCACGCTGGCCAGACGGTGATTGTCCATCTAGACCAGAGATGCACAGACCGCGGCCCTCCGGTCGAATACTGGTGGCCCGCCGACAGCAAAAATAATACCCTCGTGTATTCGAAAAATATTGAATTCTATTCCAGAATGAAACCAAAAAAAATATGTTCGAAAAGTAATTTGAATCTCGCGCGCGCTATCTTAAGTGCGGTTATCGGTGCGCCGTGCATGCGTCGATAACAGCGGTCGGTAATGTTCGTGCTGATCTCGGTTAAATTCGTTTCTTGAGGAAGCGCCGCGGCCGGCGGCGCGGCGACGACGGCAGCGCGGCACATTCAACGTAGATTTCCCGTCAAGTGCCGTGTATAATTGTGTTGTGAAATCGTAAGTAAAACTCTCTTATTAATAAGTGTTTCCTTACCTATTTAATCAATTATTTTTGGTAATTTAAAAAAGGATGGGTAATTTAAGTAGGTACTGTAATTATTTTTAGGTGCTGTGTTAATCCTAGCCAGGATTAGAACGCAACATGGACAAGCCAGGACCTAGTAAAAAACGTAAGGTTAAAGATGAAAATCGGCAGTTTCAAGAAATTTGGACTGAGAAATACTTTTTTGTATGGTCGCATAACAAAGTCGTTTGTTTAATTTGCAAAAATTCTGTTGCGATTGCAAAGGAATATAATGTAAAAAGGCACTATGAAACGCAGCATCCTACGTTTACCAAGTTTACAGGCGAATTAAGAAAGCAAAAAATGTTGTCTTTAAAACGGGAGCTTATTGGTCAGCAAGCTATGTTTACAAAACCCATTCAAGATTCAGAAACAGCTACAGAAGTTAGTTATGAAATTTCTCGAATGATAGCAAAGCGAAGTCGCCCCTTCAATGATGGGGATTTTGTAAAAGAATGCATAGAAATTGCCGCTAAGAAAATGTGCCCAGAAGCAGCAAAATAGTTTGAGAAAATTCAACTGAATCGTATGACTATCCAAAGACGAATTATGTCTTTGTCAGGTAATATTGCGGAACAATTAAATGAAAAACTAAGATCATTGAATTTTTTTCATTAGCACTCGACGAATCCACTGATATTAGTTCCACAGCTCAACTTCTCATATTCATACGAGGTGTTACTCAAGATTTTGAAGTCTTAGAAGAGTTATTAGGAATGTGTTCATTGAAAGGTCAAACCAGAGAAGTTGATATACTCAATGTACTTTTGGATGAGCGTTCAAAAACTAATTTGGACTTATCAAAATTAATGGGAGTTGCGACTGACGGTGCTCCTTCGATGATTGGTGTCAATTCTGGGCTAGTTACTTTGCTGAAAAAGCATCTGCAAGAAAAAAACATAATCGCTGAAGATCTCATGCAGTTTCACTGCATTATACACCAAGAAGCCCTCTGTTCTAAAAAAATTGAATTTCAAAAATTGAATTCAGAAATTGAATTTCAATTTCATGTCATGAAAGTGGTAATTTCGACTGTAAATTTCATAAAATCACGAGGACAATCACAGGCAATTCAAACAATTCCTTGATGACATCGAAAGCGAATATGGAGATTTACTGTATTATACAGAAGTAAGATGGCTAAGTCGTGGATTGACACTTGAACGATTTCTAAATTTAATAGGAGAAATTGGAATATTTCTGGCGGAAAAGCAAAGGGATGTCCCGGAACTTAAAAATCCTGATTGGTTGTGTGATTTGGCTTTTTTAGTTGACATTACAAAACATTTGAATGTCTTGAACACACGGCTTCAAGGCAAAAATCAACTGATATCCCAGCTCTACGCTCATGTATCATCCTTTCAATGCAAGCTGACACTTTTCAGATCGCAATTGACTTCTGGAAATTACAATCATTTTCCGAGTTATAAGAAAATGGCTGAAAAATTCAACAAAACTGCGATTAATTTCAGTTATGTAGAAAAGCTAGATATTTTGATTCAATCTTTTCAAGACAGATTTTCGGACTTTAAAAAAGTGAAACCTCTGTTGGACATATTCAGCAATCCTTTCACGATTTCAGTTGAAAATGCGCCAGAGTCAATGCAGTTAGAAATTATCGACATTCACAACGACCAAGATTTACGCAACAGATTCAACGAAGGAGACTTGCTGAACTTTTACCGCTGCATTGATAAAAATACGTACAAAGAGTTGCGCATAAACGCTCTGAAATGTGCCAGCTTATTTGGTTCTACCTATATATGTGAACAAACCTTTTCAATACTAAACATTAATAAAACAAAAAATCGAAACCGCCTTGCAAATGAAAGTTTGGAAGCAGTTTTACGTGTTGCTACAAGTAAATTTGAGCCAAATATTTATCAATTCTTTATTGTCTTTAATTACCTATACTTCTGGCGGCCCGCCATCAGTTCATAATTTGCCCGAGTGGCCCCTAGTCTTAATAAGTCTGTGCATCCCTGATCTAGACATATTAATAATCTAAGGTACTGATATTATAGCTGAAATATTTTTTTTTTGGTTGAATGCGCTCATCTCAGGAACTACTGTACTTAATAATTATTTTACCATGTACATTAAAATTATTATAATATCTTTAACTGCAACAATATCTAAGAATTTTAAGCTTTTTGACGAATGATATCATAGTAAATAAAAAATAGTAAATAAATTACTTTAGCCTATGTACCTATATTAAAGCTATCGATGTACAGTGTCTTATTATTAGCGCTAAATTAAAGTGTTTATGTACCTATCTAAGTGCGACGTTGTCGCAAAGTACGTGTGTGCGAAAGGTGGCGGTGGTAGATACTAGGTAGGTAGCGAAATAATACCAAGTATGAAATACATCTCAAATAAGATTAGGATCGCGCTTGCGACAACTTCACTAACGGCTGGTTCCAAAATTCTTCTGTCCGTGGATTTGGTTACTAGCGATAGATATTTGACATTGTCTCCATTCAGAATAAATAAATAAAATAAATAAATATAATATGTTATTGAATATATTCACACAACGCCATCTAGTCCCATACTAAGCAGAGCTTGTGCTATAGGTACTAGATAACTGATATAAATATATACTCGTATATACTTTTTTTTTAGTTACATACATATTATACATAGAAAGCCCAGACCAAATCAAACATTAAATGTTCATTCACACATTTAAAGATTACATCCATAGTCCATTCGTTATGCGTTATGTAAATAGTGACTCATCGATCAAGCTCTACTACACACATCAAAAAAGTCTAAGCAACATGTACGGTTTTGAACGAGTTTTACTATTGTAATGACTTTTTATTTATTTTATAAATAATAACCAAGCATTCTTTGATGCATTAGAGACTCTTCAATTCTTTCATTCAACAAAATCTTTCATTCAATTGTTAATTTAATCATAATGATTAACAAAATGTGTACCGTAATATACCATTAACAAAATTTGTTAACGTCATTTTTTTTAAATTACTTGGTAATTCAATACAAAGTGTGACCGCCTCTGTTGTTAAAAACTTGTCGGCAACGATTTTTAATTGAATTTATAAGATTGTTTATCTGATCTTACGGCAATCGCTCCCAATGGAATTTTAACAAGGCTTTTCGACAACCCAACAACTGATTGTTGGGTTGTCGAAACTCCGTCCAGGTTTTCTAGAACACGTCTCTGAAACATGTTCCATGCGATGGGATTCGTGCAGCCTTTTGCAGTTTGTTGTATGTCGAGCAGTTGTACTCCTGATGTAACATAACGGCGCCAAAGACTAATCACGCTTCTATTGACAGCAAAATGTCGAGATACCTGGGACTGATTTCTTTCCGCTTGTGACATTCCTACAACTGTCTATATTTTATCAGCAATCAAATGGCATCCAAATAACATAAAAAATTACTTACCATTCAATTATTTTTTTTAAACTTTGTATCTCAAAATGATAAACTGAAATAAATACAAAATTTATCAAGCAAAGAAAACACCTGAAATCAAAAAAATAAAAAACATGCAGTTTCTGTAAACGATGTGTATTGCTTAGACTTTTTTGATGTGTGTAATATCAACTAACTATAATAATTAGAGACCGGATTATATGCAACATAAAAAGCTTGTTATATGCATGCAAATATGATAAATTGTAAAATTAAATGATAAATTGTAGGAACCCCCAAAAAAAAAGAGAAAAGTAATTTTAATTTTTTATTTCAAAATCAGCATACAATGAGTAAATTATTTTTTTATTGACGAAAATATGTACAGTAACATTACATATCATTAAATATATATTTTTTATCTTAACTGTCAAAACAAACCCGCGCGGCTACTGGCTCTGCGTTCCGGGTCGAATTCGCAATATTATCGCTTTTATCGCATTTTGGAACACAGGGTGAATGCACTGCACTCGGAAAAATATTGTATATGTACCGATAATATGCATCATAACTAGATCTTAGGTAAAATATGCTATTACCGTTGAGAATGGCTTGTTGTGATTGGCACCGAGTCTGCTCGCAAAGCCAATAGCCAGATAGCCAACTATTTAATGTGTTGTCATTGAATTTCCTTATGAGGTCAATTATGATCATTGATCATATTCCACAAGATCGGTGTCAGTACATCGCCATGTGGGTTGCCGCCAACTAATTTGGCCACCTGTGACTTCGTTTGCTGAGCATATGGGTAAACCAATATATTAGGACCAGTTTTATTCTTCTCGGCTTGGGCACGAACTTTACTTTTACTGCCCTTCCTCCTTTATAAACGTATCTTAATGCAAGGCAAGGTTGCAACAAGACGGCCAGTATTTTAATGATGAGTAGTCCTCCCCACTGAAACAGTGTAATTAAATACCATCTGGTCCATCCGTTTTGAACCTTACGGGTCGAACCTTCACCAAAGGGGATGCCCCCTTAGCTTATAGTACAAAACCAAAACCCGAAGCCCCAGGCCTTCTTCGATAAATGGGCTATCCAACACTAAAAGATTTTTTTCTTTCCAACCAGAATGACAATTTTCGTAATAAAAATTCGATCACAATGCCGTTCCGATCTACTCTCGATCTCACAAATGTCATAAAAGGTATTTTCTTAGTAAAATAGTAAAGTATTACTAAGACTAGCAGATTACCGATTCAACTTCTAGTCAAAATACGATATAATCACATTACTATGAAAATTTGCTGTTTAAAACTTTACTATGAAAATTTTATGTTAAAAAAAGTTACTTACACGCCTAAATTGGGAAGTTCAAACAATAGCTCGAACAGGTCAAGGACACACTAGCAATTCGAAATGGCAGGTGCCAGAAAATTCTGGCACGCCGTCATCGCGACGGTAAGACCCGTTATGGAGGATTGGCTAGAGAGGCGTCACGGGACCCTCTCATACCGACTGACGCAGGTGATCACTGGGAAAGGATGTTTCGGGGATCATCTGTGTCTGATCCGCAAGGAGCCAACGCCTGAGTGCCACCACTGCGATGGCCAGACCGTGGACACGGCTCTCCACACGCTAGCGGAGTGCCCGGCGTGGGTTGAGCAGAGGCGAGACTTCGTGGCGACCATCGGAGTGGGAGTTCTCTCGCTCGATAGCCTGATTGCGGCTATCGTGCGGAGCGAGAGTGCGTGGAACTCTGCCGTCTCCTTCTGCGAGAAAGTTATGCTTGCGAAGGAGACGGCGGAGCGGGACCGGGAGAGGTTTCGAACTCTCCCGGCCCGCCAGGCCTGGGAACGGGCCAGGTACCGCAGGCGACTCAGTCGCCGGAGGGCGCAGAATGACCTCCGTCCTCCATAAGCGCAGGCCTGGGGGTGACAGGTGAGGCCATCTGTCACCCTAGCGGAAGCAGGCCGGGGTGGCGGCGAGCGCGTTGCGAAGCGCGCTCGCTTCCAGGGAGCAGAGGGAACATGGGGTTCCCACACGGGGGGGGGTCGTCTACTCGTCTGTAGATGGCCCGAGGTATGTCGGGGCACCAGGGACTTCTTTTCTAGGGTATACCTGGTTCCCCGCCTATTAGTACCCGAGACGGCGTGCGGTTTTAGTCGGTTCGAGTCCGACATGCCACCGATAGGTGGTATCCGAGGGGATTTCCGCACGGAAAAAAAAAGGTGACAGAAAATTGCTTTTGATGTTGCTATTAATACACACTAATGCTAAAAGTAGAACATATATTTTTTGTCATAAGGACCAAATTAACATTATACAACATGAAACGTAATCGCTAAACGATTGCTTTTATAAATTTATTTCGGTAAATGAAAGTTTCTATTTTATTTAAAATAACAAAACTTAGCACGTTATATAAACGTACCTTCGTGGAAAATTCTTTCAGTTTCAAAATTTCGTTCGACATTATGAACTTGTAGGCTTTCCCTGACAAATTATGAATTTGGTAACTTGGGAAAACATTTCTTGAGTCTAAAAAGTAACCAATTTTCATGTCGAAATGTTTTGTAGGTATTCATGTTAAACAAAAGTGCATTGAAAACGGTGATGTCAACATCCAGTCTATACCGATGGTTCTAAAGGAGCGAAAGGAGTAGGTTCAGCTGTCTTCGACCCTGTGTCGGGATGTTATGTAATGTTGAGGATCGATTCTAATAGTTAAATTACGCAAATTGGATTAATTGCAATAGCAGAAGCGATATAGTATATTGAATAATATATTGATTCAATTAATTCTGACCGATTTGTCATTTTGACAGATTCAAAAAGTGCTCTGCAACATTTGGCTCGTTCTCTCTCTCACGGGAGAGGTATACCGATTGCCTACCGAATATTGGAATCGGTCTTTAGACTACAATCACGACACAAAGAGTAATCCTACTACAATGGAGTCCATCCCTTATTCAGATACAAGCAAACGAAACCGTTGATGACACTTGCTAATCGGGTTGTTGATATTATTATCATGTCATGGTATTGCGTTGAAAAATTCTTTCGATTCGATCCGCTATTCAATGTATTACAATATGATTTAATGCGTTAATTACTATACTTGTACCTAGTAACTTCCATGGAAATCACTTGGATAGATGACACTCCACCACTTTGTACATTTCAAGAAACTTAATGCGTCGCATCGACCAAATTGTTGCCTGTGTTATGTCTGGACCCATATTTACAAAGTTCAAACCATCAAGATAAAAACATGCTCCCGCCTCAAAGACAGACAATGCATTCGTGGAGGCATGCCGACTGGAAGACGGGCACGCGGGGCTCTCTTATAACCTTGTTTACTCTATTAATCCAGCAACACAAATATGTTGTAAAATTTCAATTCTTGTCTCATACATATATTCGTCAACTTGACCGAGTCTCAAAGTCTTAAGTCCACCGCCGCCTATGAACTTGGTGATGTCATCCCATAAATATGTACTACATTTTTTTAAACAGGTAATACAGTCAAATAGAATAACTCAAATAACTCAAAATAGGTAAACTTTCAAAATAATTGCATACTTTGTATAAATATATATACGAGTATAAATGTTCAGTTACAAATTTGGTGTTTGTAATCTTCTATACTTACACATATACTTATAAATAATACATTGAGAGATTTTTGTACTCTTTTTTTCTAACAAATTTTGCGCTTTATTTGAAATATTTAAAGATTATAATGTAGAAGAGGATCAATATACTACTAATATAGGGTCTACCAATAAGAACGTCCTGGTTTAAAAATTGAATAAATCACAATTTTTTATGAAAAATGCATCCGATTGATTTTTTTGATAGATAATTTTATGCAATTTATGTTTTAAATAATATATCGGCCATATGACCGCCGCGGCTCTTTTTGCAGATGGTCACCCGCTCACGTCAATTTTCGATGACGCGGTGCACCATTTCGGCCGGTATGTCGGCTATGGCTCGTCGAATGTTGGTTTTTAGGTCAGGAATTGTAGCTGGATTATTTCTGTACACTTAAGATTTAACGTAACCCCAAAGAAAATAGTCTAAAGGTGTTAAATCAAACGATTTTGGTGGCCAACTGATCGGTCCATTTCTCGAAATTAACGACTCACCAAACTTTCCACGCAATAATTCCATGTTCACTCGAGTAATGTGAGGTGGTGCACCGTCTTGTTGAAAATAAAGGTCGTCTGCATCAATATCATCAAATTCCGGAAAGAAATATTCGGTTAACATCGAGTCATAGCGCTCGCCATTCACAGTAACAGGGTTTCCTTCGTCACTTTCAAAGAAGTACGGACCAATGATTCCACCGTACCATAAACCGCACTAAACTGTTATTTTTTGCGGATGCAATGGTGATTCATGAACCACACGTGGATTTGACTTACTCCAATAGCGACAATTTTGTTTATTAACAAATCCATTGAGCCAGAAATGGGCCTCATCGGAGAAGATGATTTTACGATGAAAATCGTCATCGGCTTCCATCATTTCCAGTGCATAATCGCCAAATTCACGATGGATACAATGGTCGGATGGCTTCAATTCTTGTGCCAAAACAATTTTGTATGGGTGTAGGCCCAAATCCAACCGCATAATACGCCAGGTGGTCATTGGAGAGAGTCCCAACTCTTGTGAACGGCGTTGAATTGATCGATTTGAATTCGCATCAACACTGGCCTGAACGGCTGCGATATTCTCTTCACTACGGGCATTTCTTTGTCTCACAGGCACAGCAGTATCGTGGAGAGTGAATTCACTTTCAAATTTTGTTATTATGATTTGTTATTACGATTTATAGCGCGCACAGAAGGAGCACTATGACGACCGTTTTTTGCGCGAAGCGCTCTTACTGTAGCGGTAGGAGCACGCGAATTTGCGTAATAATTGTCCAAAATTGTCCAAATTTCCGAGCGTTGGTTTATAGTGAAACGTGACATGATAAAATGGCAAACCTTACTGAACACAAATGTCAAGAGACATCAAAGATCCATCATCAAACATGGCCGCTATGAGCTGTCAAAACCAGGTCATCCCTATTGGTAGAGCCAAAGGTAAAGTAAAGAATAATGTCTTTACTTTCGTAATAGGGATAATTATAGGGAAAGTAAAGACAATGATTCTAGTTCTAGTTGTACCTGTGAATGATATAGGTAGTTGTAGGTCAAATCAAGAGTCACGAGTGTGTTTTCGCCCTTTGTGTGCTTCTTAGAAGTAGGGGAAGGTGTGGTTGGGCACCGGTTACTTTACGCAATTGGTGAGTACACTCCAGAGATACAACGAAAAAATTGTTCAATAACGGGTTGAACAATTTTTTCGTTGCATCTCTGTGAGTGTTTCACTCGGGTCGAGCTGTTCCTATTCAATATATCAGGAACTACTGTTTCGAACTGAAATTTCTTTTAGTGTATGATAGCCCATTTATGAAAGAAGGATATAGGCTATTTAACATCGCGCTACGACCAATAAGAGACGATCATCAATGAAAAACGAGTGTACTTTAGACCACACGACTGAAGTTACACTTCTTGGCTATGAAAGAAAGAGAGAAAGAAAATGTGTGCTCGTACCTCTCTCTCTTGCCCCTACAGTAATATACGAAACGCAACTCTATCTTTTTCTATCTTCACTAACTTATATCTACCTCTCAACTTCCGTTCGCCCCGCCCGATCGCAATTTTCGTAAAGCTCTCGTCACGCATTCACCAGCTTACTAACCAAGTCAAACGTGCCTAAAGAGGTTTTACTTCAAAAAATGGTGCAAAACGAAAAAAAATATTGAGAGACGCAGACGAAGTTGCACGGGTCAGCAAGTGTATCATAAATTATGATCAAAAATTTACAAGCAGACGACCTCTAGTATAAGTTTTAATTCACAATTAATTTAAGCATGAATTGTGTTCATAACAACATGAACTAATTATTTTTTTATTACGCACAACACGACACATAAGACGTAGATAGGTAACTGTGGTATAAATGTAATCCGACACTGTCAGCTCTAATCAGTGCTTCTTTGCGGGTTCCAAGACAATTTAATTTTTTTTCCTGGGACTTCCCGAGTGTCATAACTCGGTGTGTTCGTAGGTCACTGCTGTTTATCCTGATGTACAGGAGTTACAGTGGTGGGCGTAGGGATTAGTGCCATAAAAAAAAACAAGTATCAATGATTTTTATGCATATTCTTGTTAATTTATTGTCACAATAGATTCCACCGTAGTTTAATATCTGTCAAATTTTGTTGAGAATAATCAAGAGTTGATAGTTGCGGCTATGACTAACAATAAGTTTTTAACATTAATTACCGCTGTCAATGTTATCGTCATATATGGCACCCACGAAAAAACTTAAAGAAATAAATAACTAATGTTTTTCGTTTTGTGTATTCGATATAACGAATATCAAAAATAGGTGTGTTATCATCACAGGTACAATGTCGGTAACTACGTGAGAATGTCATCTGCTGCGGAAACGCTTCCGGCGTCAAACACTCGCAGGCACCCACCCGACACGTCGCTACCGCCGCCTGAAAACCCATTTGGTCGTTGCAATGGCGGCAAACATACAGTGCACTGGTTCCGAAAAGGATTACGACTCCACGACAACCCCGCATTGAGGGAGGGTCTAACCAATGCCGTCACGTTTCGCTGTGTATTCATCATAGATCCGTGGTTTGCCAGCTCATCTAATGTCGGCATAAACAAATGGAGGTAATTTTAAAGATTTCTAATATTATCCTTGTTATTCGCTTCAAAATCATGCTACATTATACTGTATTTCCAGATTTCTGCTGCAATGTTTAGAAGACTTGGATAGAAGTTTACGAAAACTGAATTCACGCTTATTTGTGGTTCGTGGACAACCGGCAGATGCGTTACCTAAATTATTTCGAGAATGGGGAACAACTGCATTGACCTTCGAAGAGGACCCAGAGCCTTATGGTCGCGTTCGCGACCACAATATTATGTCAAAATGTCGCGAGGTTGGCATAACTGTCACGTCTCGTGTATCACACACCCTCTACAAATTAGACCAGTAAGTATAAAAAGCATGTTCAAAGTTCCTGTTATTATACAATACGACGACACATACAAAACTGTAATAACTTTCGGAAATAAATAATTACTTGCAAAGAAATGTCGCTATCCACATTCTTGGCAGATAAGAGCTTGTCACGAGTTCCTAATGCGCAGAGGTTACGGCGCAAGCGCAGTCATAGCAAAAATGTGTTAAAGACGTAAAGATATCACAAGCTACGTGTGAATTGTATACTACGCATACGTTCATAAATTGCAACTCGCGCGTGATATAATAGCACTATTACATCGGCCAGGAGACTCGCAGGCTCAAAAGAGATCGTGCGGTACCCTCTTATGACACTGATGGACAGCACTCGCTGCGGTTGTCGTATGCACGCGATGCACCAACCAACTTGGGGACCAGACCTCGGAAATGATGTCCGAACTCCCATCCATCCATCGAGTACGATGATACCTCATCGAGGGCTTGATGCCAATACGAGTGGCTCCTACAATAAGGCTGGCTCCCTCTGGTGGCTTCTGAAAGAACAAGGCCTCGGATCTGCGCAGAGCCACTTCGAGAACCAGCCGCTCGATCCGCTCCACGACTTGGGCAACCCCGGCCGTGGCTCTCAGGGTTGCCTAACGGTGCGTCTTGCCGCCACTTTTCCCGTAATTTCGGAAACTGGCCCCGCTCGAGAAATGCGCTGAAGAACCCTGAATGTAGCATTTGCCAGACATCTGTCCTGCCCATTTTTTTTAAAGCAGGTATCGATTTTGCGCTTTTTAATGTCGACGCTACAAAACAGGATATTTCATAACTTAACAAAGATATTTACATTATTAACGAGAATATAGTTATGCCAAAACCTTAGATCGCGAATATTTCATTTTTGAAATTTACGCGGAGCAGAACATCTTGCGAAAGATGTTTGTCTCTTTTTAAATATGTTTTTTTGGCCATTTGTTGAGTACGGTTATTCAAGTTTAATTTAATATTGATCTTGATTTATCTTTAAGCGTGGCTGCAAGTTTTTGGATGTTTGTGACAATTTTAGGCAAGCTATGTTCCTAGTTGTTCTTACTCATGCATTTATTAAACATGCGTTTTTTTAAGAATATTTTATAATACAGACCGAAATTTAAATCCATTTTAAACTTCTAATTCTTAAAAAACATCATCGCATGGGAGCATGAATTTTCGGGACGAAACCTGTTCATGATCTGCATCTTTTTCCAACAACACATGTTATTTTGAAGGTAGTATTTAAAAGAAGGGAAGACTTATTAGGTACGTCATAGGCGAGTGCATTGTTAGTTGTATTGTTGAGATTTCAAGTTAGAAAATAATATAATTTAATGCATTATATCCTTGAGAGTCGAGATAAATTATTATATCTACAATAAGTGTTTTGTTTGAAGAAAATTTTGCGTTACATGTCTTTATTAAATTTTATAAAATCACGACGAGCTGCTTCGTATATTTCTGGGGGTATCGATGATATTAGATTCACATTTGAATTTGAATCGAATAGTGACTATCATGAAAAAAATCACTGCACTAACACTTAACATGTAATAATTTTGTTAATTAAAAGTATCGATAACTATAATAAATCTATCAACAACCCTGTCTCTTTCACGTTTTTATCACGAAATTTCCTCTCTCCAACGCCATTGACGCCTTAAGCGTCGACTAGTTACGGTAAAATATGGTAATGAGTTAATTGTTTATTGTTACAAAATCAATATTTATAGAGGCATATATAATGTAAAATGAGTAAAGTGTAATTAAAAAAAAATGAATTACACTAAGAAAACAAGGGGTTTCACTTATCTTTATAGACTAGGCCAGCATTAAGTCTTGCGCTTAATACTTTGTTATAGGATGCATCATTCAATTTTTTTTTTCAAAAAACTTGTAACTAAATCCATCCGCCAAAAGTCTAGGCTCTGTTTCCTGTAATTACAGTTCCTTTTTCACGTGTAATTTTATACAAGCAAACAATTTTCATTTAAACAATAAACGTATATTTCGACATGTAGGACAGGTAATCGAAAGCCTGATTATCTAGTATCCGGCCACACAATTAGCCATCTTATTACCTGTAACTTTTTATTTAATCCACAACATGAGCTCAAAAATTATTGCCTATAATTTTAGACTACAAAGTATATATTTAAAGCAGGCAACACTTAGGTAGTGTGACTATTTGCTATTTTTAAGAATGTATATAAATAACCTCAATCATGAAACAAAATTAATATTACAGGATTATAGAACGTAATGGGGGCAAAGCTCCACTGACGTACCACCAGTTTCAAGCATTGATCGCCAGCATGCCTCCACCACCTCCGGCTGAGAAACCGATAACAGCACATATGCTCAATGGAGCTACCACGCCCCTCACTGACGATCATGACGATCGGTTTAGTGTACCTACTCTCGAAGAACTTGGTAAGTGAAACAACCGAATTGTTTGGATAAAATAGAATATGAAAGTATTGCTTAAGTCACTGTCATCTGGACAAATGACGTATTTTATACAAAAGCCTAATTTCCTAGTCTACATTTACCTATTTACTTATTCTTTTAAATAATTTAATATTTTAGTACTTAATGAAGTGGGCACGTATTATTGTACCCACTACACTAATGACAGTCATTCATTAGTGTAGTGGGTACAATAACACGTGCCTACTATTGACTTCTAGGTTGCCTGCTCTAAGCAACCTTAACATCATTATCTTCGTGTAAAAATGCTTCTAACTTTACTTATGTATTGCTAAATTAGATTAAGTCATTACTTCCGAAGTTGCTCGATTCGACGAAATGTATGTTAACATCGCAGGATTCGAGATTGAAGCGTTAAAACCCCCAGTCTGGATTGGCGGAGAAAGTGAAGCGTTAGCTAGATTGGAAAGGCATCTGGAACGAAAGGCGTGGGTGGCGTCATTCGGCAGGCCTAAAATGACACCACAGTCGTTACTTGCGAGCCAGACAGGATTATCACCATATTTAAGGTAAACAGAAACATTTGTTATCAATGTATTCTGATAAATAAGTTACATTACGTCATTTAAAAATATCGTCATTTCAGATTCGGTTGCTTGTCAACTAGATTATTTTATTATCAGCTGACAGAACTGTACAAAAGAGTAAAACGGGTGAGACCACCGCTTTCTCTACACGGACAAATATTATGGAGGGAATTCTTCTATTGCGCGGCAACAAGGAATCCCAACTTCGATCGTATGGAGGGCAACCCCATATGCGTTCAAATACCATGGGAGAAGAATCAAGAAGCTCTAGCGAAATGGGCTAGTGTAAGTCCATTGACACGTAACACTATGGCCCTACAATACTATTGTGATCTTATGTTTTTTCCTATGGTTACTGCCTGCACACACACATTGTGCCTAGCGTATAGTAGAAAATGATGATGATGATGATGAACAGATACCTATATAATATACCTTTTGAATGCAAAATAGTGAAATAATTAATTGAGTGGGCTTATTAAAAGGGGGGTGATAGATTTTATGAAGACATAGAAAGTATTTTAATATTGTCCTTCCAAACATTTTATTAAGGGTATCCACAAACCATCCGTGTGATGACGGATCAAGAATACAGTGTCACCACCCCTATTCTTAAAAGAACTTAAATACGGTGTAATCGTTCCAGTAAATTTATGCTAGCGAAGTTATTATTTTAGGACAAAACTTATAAGTTGATTTCAATCATCTTAGGGAGATCGTCCCTCTCGACTGTACCAGCTTAGAATAATTAACAATATTTCTAGGCAGTGGAGTCCCATATTACCGTGTTATAAATACGATTAATGTCATATTAACAGGGCAAAACTGGATTCCCGTGGATAGATGCAATTATGATACAGCTAAGGGAGGAAGGTTGGATTCACCATTTGGCGCGGCATGCTGTCGCTTGTTTTCTTACAAGAGGTGACTTGTGGATCTCTTGGGAAGAAGGAATGAAGGCAAGGCTTTATTATTTGTTAATATTTGATCGATCAAAATTTCTGAACACACACAGCATTATTAAATGAAATTATTTTCCTTTTTTGCAATGAATAAACAGTCCGTTAAGGTTAGTTGTACTAAAAATCAATTTCAAAGAAATGGTACAGAATCTGTAATGCCTAAATTATACACATTGTAAGTATATTCGTATACAAAAAATTATGAATGATAATAATATAATGCTGTTAAGTTATAAATTTAAAATGCAAACAAAACACACTAGTGATGTCATTTTCTTCATGGTGTATATATAAACGGATTAACGAACGAATGAATGTTGTGCTTGGCGGCTTGGTGTTAATGAGTGGAGGATCCGCGTACCACCAGGTATTCGACGAGCTGTTGCTGGATGCAGACTGGTCCGTCAACGCCGGCATGTGGATGTGGCTCTCGTGTTCTTCATTCTTCCAGCAATTCTTCCACTGCTACTGTCCTGTCAGATTTGGCAGAAAAACAGACCCTAATGGAGATTTTATAAGGTTTGTAAACACACACACACGCACACATATGCAAAGCATTTACACGCACGAACATGAACATTTAGAATTCACGTCTAGTATATTTGTATAATTACAAAATTTTAATAGTTATATAAGGTACTTCATTCACTTTAAATTGCATATGCCTTAATTTAAGTACGTGTCTAAACTTAAAATATTTTTTGTTTGAAGTAGAAATAGTATTATTGTTTATAAAAGTAATTGAAATAAATGTAGACTACAAAATACACTACCATTTGTACTTGCCGATACCTTGCTATCTTGGTATATGGTCCTATCTGACAGGCACGGCCCGGAACAAAATTCATAAAACTAATTGAAATATTTATATTTGTACAGTATTTATTGCATTTTTTAAAATTAATTTAGCTATTGTCTTTTTTTAATTTTCTCGATGTAGTTAGAAGAAAAACATCAGCGGCTACTTCTACACGATTTTAAGAGCAATAAACTACCTTTTCAAATTGTGTCATGTATTTACTAGTCGTGTCAATAGTTATTATTTTAGGACATACTTCACAAGCGCTTTCTATACCCAATCTAAACATAACTTGTACTAAGAGGGGAGGTCCAAAAGTTCGGGGAATGTAGGGGATGGAGTGGGGCCAGGGGCGCTCGCTTAGTTAGTGTCATACTAGTTGGGGACTCATCATTAGTATATAAATTAAGTTTCAGCCCTATTGCTTCATGCAAACCGTTTATGGAGGACAGTGCCCTAGTAAATCAATGATTTACAAGTAGCATGGTCCTTTTAAACATGGTTGGGCGTCGATTGAAAACGACCCTCGCTCAGGAAGGCCAGTTGAGGCCACCACATCTGACATCGTCGAAAAAGTAGAAAAAAATGTAATGGAGGACACCCGTTTAAAGAAAAACAGTTATCTGCATAGTTGGAGTATCAGATACGGGTGGTATCTTTTGCGAATCCTACATGACCACCTGGGTCTGACAAAAGTCAGTGCAAGATGGGTACCGAGAATGCTCACGCCGCTTCAGAATCAACAGCGCGTCGATGCGTCAAAACAATTTTTGGAGTTGTGTGGAGACGAACCTGCACAGATTATGGAGCGGATTGTTACCGGAGATGAAACATGGGTTCATCACTTTGAGCCTGAGTCCAACCAAGAGTCCATGCAATGGCATAAAAAGGGTACACCACCGCCAAAGAAATTAAAAGTGTCGGAGTCGGTCGGAAAGTTGATGGCTACTGTTTATTTGGATTGTGAGGGGATAATACTCATTGATTACAAAGAAAAGTGAAGAACTATTACCGGAGAATACTACGCAACGATACTAGAGAAATTAAAGGAGGCCATCAAAGAAAACGTCAAGGAAAATTAACCAAGGATGTGTTGCTCTTGTAAGACAACGCGCCGGTTCACAAGAGCAGAGTTGCAGTGGCTGCTCTGCATAAGCATGGCTTCGAAACACTGGTCCACCCACCCTACAGTCCAGATCTGGCCCCAAGTGATTTTTATTTGTTCCCCAATTTAAAAAAAGACTTAGGGGACGCAAATTTGCCGACGACCAAGAGGTAAAGGAGGCAATTTTAGCTAATTTTGGGGCAAAGAAAAAAAATATATTTTTACTATGGTTTAAAAAATTAATTCATAGATCTAATAAATGTATTCAGGTTAAGGGTGGTTTTATTGAAAAGGAAAAATAGATTTATTGTTTCATTTTATTTAAAACCCTTTCTTTCCACGAACTTTTGGACCTCCCCTCGTTATAGGTCTGGAAAATTTCTAAACATCGTATACTTAGCGGACAATTATATTTTATTTCAACAGGAGATACATTCCAGCATTGAAGAACATGCCTACACGTTACATCCACGAACCCTGGGTAGCACCCGACGCGGTACAACAGTCAGCTCGATGCCTCATCGGGCGTGATTACCCATTGCCAATGCTCGACCACTCTAAGGCTTCTCAAGTCAATATAGAACGCATAAAGCAGGTTTATGCACAACTTGCTAAATATAAACCACAAGGTAAGGAGATACCTTCAAAAATTTTTTCGATTTGTCATAATAATTAAAAAAAGGTTAATTCAACTTGGGATGACTTTTGCGACATTTAATGTATTGAATTATTATAACATATTTATCTACCTAATTAGGTAACACTGTGTTTAAATGTAATGAAAGCATAGTAATATATAATATAATGAACCCCATGAGGTTAATTATTATATTTCTAAAGAATAGGCCATGCCATATTCTTTAGAAATAAATGTTCCAAATTGTAAAAAAAACATAAAAAATTACGTTTTGATATTTTTTTGTTTATTATAATAAGCTTCATAAATTCTAATATTTCTTCCAGGCACACTAAATCCCAACACTGTACCTCGTCCGAACGTAATGCAGTCCTCGCCGAGCCCTACTTCGATAATAGCCAGCATCAACCAGTCTAATTACTTGTGCAGCCAAACACCAGAACCACCCACAACAACACCTCAGATTATACCGTACAAAGATAATGAAGTGTTCCAAAGACCAATGCAAAACAGCATCAGACCTGACTTCGTAAAACCTTTCAAACGTGTAATAATCGTCCAACAAGAAAACACTAAAGTCACACAGCCTGACAATAACAAAAAGCAAACAAAAGAGAACTACATAGAAAATGAACAATTAGAAGTTTCCTATAAAACTACAGACTCTAGAAATGAGAAACAAGAAAATTACGATTTAAAAAATTTAGTTATCAATAACTATGTTGAAGGATTTCCTACTACTCAGGAAATATTTACAAATCAACAGCCGAACAGAAATGAGTATACGCAGCAAACATTAAAAATGAATAACTTTAGCTACGAAAAGCAAAAATTTTATTTATCTGCATTAAAAGATAGTGAGATGCATGTACATGTAGTGCACAACGATACGCCGCAAACTTTTTCACCGCCTAATCTTAATCGTGAGGCTTCTCACTAGGGATGGCGATCTGAGATCGATTAATCGAAGATTCGATTTCTCGGGGCAATAAAATCGAGTTTTTAATCGATATGTAGCACTGAATCCATTCAGTGGATCGACATTTCAACCTTCGACTTTCGATTTTTTCTGTTTGGAACTGCTGGGATCCCAGTAGACTTGACGGACTAGTTTCTCTCGGCAGTGTCTCTCAAAGCTTAGACATCATGCATTGGGAACTATATTATACTAAAAAAGAAAAGGAATTATATAATAAGCTATAGCTAATTATATAAACTATATTATATAATATATTTTCAAAACTTTAATGTAACAAGTAAAGGACAATGTATGGGACTTTTGTACCGCTTTGCTTATCTAATGGTAGGGATTATTGTTGTATTTATTTGGCTGGTAATATCATAATTACCAGCTATTTAGAACTTTGGGTTCAAAAGTTATTTTAGTTTGTATATATATACCGACTTCAGTACAGTATACACCTATACTGTACTGAAGTCGATACCCATGACAGCTTGGCATTGCTGTCATTAAGTTACCAGCGTTACCATCTATCTCATTAAGTTAGCATAGGTACCATAATATTAAAATCTTATAAACACTATTATGGCTATCTTTGTAAACCTTTCTACTCTTAACCTTTTTAAATAACAAGGATGTTGTTAATGCCAGTTAAGTTACACTTTTTACATAATGTTCATGATTAATCTAATTGATTTGAACAAAAATTACTAGTCACCTCCTTTAGTTTCCTTAAATTAAGTGATTTAAAATATTTCATTCCTTTATGACTTCGTCTAATCTGTACTGTCACCCTTAGTAGTAAAAATTGTTTTTAGCTGCTAAATACATAAGTGAGCTCATTCGTAAGTAGCGATTTAAACATAGTTTTTTATTTTTTATGTAATTTATATTTTAGGCATATGAAGCTTCGAAAACGTAGGAATGCGTTTTGTTGACAACACTTGAGCGTTTAGTTATTGCAGTCGTAACAAGTTTATGAGAAGAATTTCTATACTTTTAGCAAAGTTCTAAAATCTGATAATTACATAAAAAGTTAAGATGATTCACTTTATAAACAGTTTAAATCTTATAACCATCCATCCATCCATCATATCATTAGCTGACTCTCTCAAAAGAAACAAATTTTCTCCGTTTTTGCATCGTTTTTACTAAAAGAATTTTTCGATTCGAACCAATAGTTCCTGATATTAGCACGTTCAAGCAAACAAATAAACAAGCAATGGAATTTCAGCATTATAATATTAGTATAGATAAGAGATCGGTTATTATGGTACTTTTCATGTTTTACATAAAACGGATTTTATTAAAAAAAATACAAAATATATAAATGCAGACAAAAAAACGATTTTTAGGAAATCGACCGATTTTTTTGTGGATCGATTGGAGCTAGCGATTTGAATCGATCTCAAAATCGATATCTCGGAAAGAGTCGCCATCCCTACTTCTCTTAGAGACAGCTAAAACGAAAATGTTAACGCTAAAAGTAATGATTTGCGTCAAATGTCAAATAATGACGAAACATTCTCTAATGATACACATCGGAACAATCCTTCGAATGATTAAAACGAGTTGTAAGATGTTAATTATATATAAAGGCGAAAGCGTGTTAACTATATATCGAAAGGAATAGGTTTTTGATATTTGTTGTATTATAAATGAATTTTTTATTTATTAATCAAGGATAGTGTGTAACTTCGGTGTCATACAACAAATATTTCTTTGTACAAATAATTTGAAGGACTCAAGTGCTTTAAAAATAATGTAGCAAGTAACTATGAATAGTGACGAGGTGGGATGTAAAATATTGTTTAGAATTAGATAATCTTAAAATAACACATTTTTTCAATATAATAAATGTTTATACAGAGTTTATTATCTTAGTATATATTTTCCTTCTACTTTATTCAGTCAAACAATCTGAGATATTAGTGCTAGGAAACATGTTCCAGAGGAATGACGTCTACTCACTCAAATGCTTCTGCATAATTATGTTATAATATATTTTAGTATTCAAAAAGTATTATATAGTGATCTCAACATAACTTGTAATACCACTTTACTCGTACATAATAAATGTTACAATTACAAGTCAGTGCTTCACCATATTATTTAACACAGACTTTATTGCCTACCTTCCTATGTTTGTGGTTTCGAATCACATAAGAAAAAAAATTGAGCTGTAGCAGGACTTTCGGAGGCTCGAAACATTAGAATTATTTTTTCAGAAATAGACAAACTGTATTGCATGTTACATATAACATGACATAACAGCTGGTCTGGCCCTACATTAGAGGTTTCTTATCAATAAACTACTTGAAATGATTAGCCTGAATCGTTTTTTAGGATATGTTAATATTGCTTATTTATTACGAAGATGGATACTACTGGTTTACTCTTTTTGTTATTATTATTACTTAAACCTATGCCTTTTCGAATTCCCATGAAATAACTAACTTCGTGTTAATACAAAAAAAAGAAAGAATAAGTAGCCTGGTTGCATATTTTAGCAGATAAGACGGATAGATTGATTAAACGGATAGATAAATCTTAAAGTTAGTTAAAGTTTAGTAATTTTAGAAAAATATATAGGTATTAGTGATGTGCCGGATCGTTAACATAGCATATCCGCGGATACGGATCCGAATACGGATATTTGGTGTCAAGATCCGCGGATACGGATACGGATCTTAAGTTTCTTACTCAACTTTGATAGTTGTCGCCACTTGATGTTTTGCCGTTGATATTTAAATATTTCATTATTTTAATAAGCTAATACAAAGATCTTTGATTGATCTCATTATAAAGATAGCTCTTTCAGTACCTACGACCTGCCTAGTTGATTTAGTGTAGTACGAATGTAGTATAAATGATTGCAATACAAAGGTGCCAAATATTTGTTTTAAGAAATAAAAAGTAATCTGAACAGTACCTAATAACCATTATTCAGGGTTATTTTAAATTGACTGAAAACCTCTGAAGTGCATATTAGTAACATTATAAACAACAACTTTTCTTCTGGACTAACACCGAAAACGAAAGAAAAAAAATTGTTTCTCCATACAAACTAATAACATTTGATTGGTCATTTGAATGGAGAACCAATTTTTTTTTTCATTTTGACGTTGGCCAGAAAAAAAGTTGCTGTTTATAGTGTTACAAACACATACCTAAGAGTTTTACAGTGAAAACAAAATCACCTATATAGAATTTCATCTATGTATTGAAAGATCCGCCAAAAAAGTCACGGATACGGATCTCTCTTCTCCCTTGGATATCCGCGGATACGGATACGGATATCCGGCACATCACTAATAGGTACTCGATAATTTAACGGGCCTTATCCCTCCCACACGCCTACTAGCTCCTGTAAAGAAGGATCACCAGCAGTAACCTACGAACACACCCGGGCGTGTGCGTTACCCCAGCAAAATATTGTCGAAAATGGTCATTTAAACGTTATAGATAATTAGTTGTAAATTTAAAAATGTGCCTCACAATTATAGAAGGGGTCTGTAATTGTGAGGCACATTTTTAAATTTGTTTCACTTATTTTTCTTTAGTTATTACAAAAAAAACATTTCCTGCTGGGGTAACGTTTGAAACGTTACCACAGCCAGACATTTTCTTTTTTAATTGGAATATTGTAATAAATATTAGCTAAATAATTAGTTATCTGGACGAGGTAAATGTTACAACTTATTTGGTATTTGTATTTTCTTCGGCTGCGAAGTTATTCGAGATCCTGATGGAGTAACGTTTGTGGGTTTGCTGGATCTCTGAAACGGGTAAGCGGATTGTAACCATCTTTTGTACATACATAACTTCTTAAGGATTAGTTTAAATTTGTTCAACAATAAAATAACAAAAATAAAGGACCGTTTAAAAATTATTTAAGCAAGTATGAAAACACTTCAATACGTCCTAACACTTTGAATAAGACCTCTAAAGACTTACTTTAAACGTTATTCTATTGCTTGTAACTACCTTCAAATGTATACGAATTTTTGTAAGTATACTATAAGTTACTAAAAAGTTATGATGAAATGTAGCTCTCCACGTTCACGATCACAATGTGTGCCTTTTTTGGCCACCGATAAACCTGTGTGTGGATATATAAACTGAATTTTATGCCAATAATTAGTTGTTTAGTTCAGTTGTCTACCTGTAGAATTTCAGCGTCGTACATATAATAATTTACGAGATAACTAAATAAAAGTCATTAAAGGTGCAAGTCTGTGGTAACCCGACCATGTTTGGGTGGTTACAAAAAAGCGATCACCCAGTACATTGCGCTGTCTTTTAAAATGTTTAGTGTAATACACCTTACGATTTCGGTACACTTGCGTACAGTGTAGTAGTTTAACATTCAATATTTATTCATTATTATTACCTATTATTTATTTTGTTTTTTTTTCGTGATGGATCTTAAGCATTAGTTTCTTTACTTAAAATTTCTACCGGAGCTACAATCAACAGAAAATCTGCACTGGCCTGAACGATTCACCTGACTGCAATAAATCGAAAATTTAAACCAATAAGAAATCGTTTCGTTTCTTTGATTTTTTTTGTAAAGAAATAACACTGGGGTAATTGTATTTTATTTTGAGGTGTATAGAGCTTAGACTTGAATGCATCAAAATATTTAAATCAACAAGTCATCTACAATAAGTTAAAATAGACCATAATAGTAGAAGAATACAGTTATAAATTAGAATGCATCAACATTGCATCGCCCAAGAGTCGTTTACCTCGTAAGAGTAATATTGTTCTGTGGTCTATACCGAGAACCGAGAATTATCTATACCTATGTACCTACCGCTAAGCGTTGAGCCCGTGACTGTTGATTTCTGTTAAAAACGAACAGTTGTTGAATGATATTTTGATATAATAACGGTAATTTAATTTATCGAGTGAAAGTGGTACATTTTTATAGATAAAATTATTGGTCAGATAATATTTGTCAATCAAGAATCGCC